ACTCATTTTAATTTTTGGTTATCAGTAATTCTCTACCATTATGGTTTTTATTTAACAAGGGTAAAATGGAAATTCAGGATGGAGATGGAAAACTCCACATTTAAGCATGCTTACTACGTTTCCTCAATGCAATCTCACGTAAACATAAGGGCATCATAAAAGTTACTCTCCCCATCTTCAATCTTTTAGCTGCAAAGAATAGTGGTGGTTTAAAAAAAGAAAAAGGGATGCCTGGGTATCTCAGTTGGTTACGCATCCGACTTAGGCTCAAGTCATGATCTTGCGGTATGTGGTTCCAGCCCCACACCAGACTCTGTGCTGACAGCTCAGAGCCTGGAGCCTGTTTCAGATTCTGTGTCTCCCTCTCTCGCTGCCCTCCCCCCCTCATGCTTGTCTCTCTCTCTCAAAATAAATAAATAAACAAACAAACATACATACATTAAAAAAAGAAAAAACAAGAACAAACATGTTCAGTCACGGTTGCAAATTAAAATGTCTTCATGTCTTCTCATACTTAAAAATAACATATTATTTCTAGGACAAAAGCACTGAATAATTCCTGAATAGCATGTTCAATATTTGTGGTAACTTAATATAAATCGTACATTTTAAAGTATTACCTTAGGGATGCCTGGGTGGCTCAGTCAGTTGGGAGTCCGACTTCGGCTCAGGTCATGATCACACACTCCATGAGTTTGAGCCCCGCGATGGGCTCTATGCTGATAGCTCAGAGCCTGGAGCCTGCTTCAGATTCTATCTCGCTCTCTCTCCACCACCCCCCAACTAGCATTCTGTCTCTTTCTCTCTCTTTAGCAAGAATAAAATAAAAACATTAAAACTCAATCAATCAATAAATAAAATGTTATCTTAAATTACCATGCTTTGTTTTATTCATTCTTGCTTGTTTTGTTTTGTACAGTAGAAGGCAAACATTTGGTTATGACAGTTTATCTTAGTGTAAATTATCAGAATGATCAACATTCTTTACCAATTGAAAGTTCAAAAGTGGGTCAGGGGAATGTGGATGTATGTGTAGGAGAGAAATTTTAAGTATCAATGTACACAAAATATAAGGTATCTTTAAAGTCAAAATGCTATTGCAATTCAAATGCACTTTGGATTCCAAGAGAATTGCTTGAAAATCTTCAAAAAGGAATTGAAACAGGAGAGTTATGGTGTTTCAGCCTTTGCAAGGAAAATGCAGATTGTATTATTTTCCATCATAAACCTATAGTTTTTGATAGCATCATTCACATTGATTTCTTTCCATGAGCAGTGTCTTGTCCATAATAGTCACTTAATATATTTGGCAAATAGAACTAAATATAAATTCTCTGAGTCAAGGAGCAATCATTAAGGCAAATTCAGGAGAGTCTTTGCCTTTCTTTTTTTAATTCTAGTGACAGTGAGAACAAATACACTGATTCCTAAGAGAAAGAAAGAAAAAAAAAAGTGGGGGAAGGAAAATTATGAAGCCAGAAAGAAAACTAAATCAGATGAGAAGTTCCATGAGAAAATATTTATAGTCAGAATCCTAAGGATTAAAACTTTAAAAGTTCACAAATGGAGAAATGGAATGATAATAGTTCATTATCAGTAATTTCAATGATTTGAGAAAATTATAAGATTACTGTGTATATTAAAGGAAAACTAGAAATTCACAATGAAGCAATATAAAAATAATCTGTATTACAGAGAAACTGTTCTTTGATTAAGACAAAAAATGAGTCAACTAAGTGAATATTGCTAATAAAATTCAGAATTCAAAATGGGGCTGGGTTCTGCAATTTCATCATGGGCACTGAAAAAAACTGACATTATCACATCTATGTGAAATACTTTGGTTCCCATACTCCTTGCAAAGGAGGCATGAGCTAATGGGAAGTGCAATGAATAGACATTTCACTAACAAATTAAAATCTATATAATTTTCAGGAATGCTTCTGAAATATCCCATAAAGATACCATAATATTGTTGGCCAAAGGGAAAAATAAGAATGAACAATAAATTAATCTTTCTAACATGATGTGGTCCTTGGAGCAGAGGAGATTATTAGAAGACTTCTGAAATTTTTTTCTGCCAGATTCTACTGAGGAATAATTTAAGGACTAGAAAACTTCAGTTTTAATCTAGGTTTCCATTAAGTCATTGTGTAACATTGAACCTCACCCTTTTAGATTTCATCTTTGCTAAAATGAACGTGCTACACCAGATAATTCTCCAAATACACTTTTATTATATAACTTTAACCATATAAATTCAAAGATGTGGAAATTACAGTAATCATCCAAGTGATCTGATTAGTGTAGTCTGCCTGTCCAGGTGACCTGGGTAAACATAACTCTTTTTCCTAAATAGAATTTTTAAATGCCTGTGTTAGCCATGTAATTTGTGAAATTATCCTTTTGACTAACTCTGGGTAAATAGCATCAGACACAGAGAAGTTCACCCCTTCAAGAGATTAAGCTTCTGCCTTGCCTGAAATGCTTATAGAAATATTTTTATTTATAAATGTCTGGATTATATGTCCTGTGTTACCTATAGTCTTATCTTTATATTTTCCACAATTTGCTTACTGTTGCCATTGAAACCCACGTGGAAGTAAATATCTTCTACATGAAGCATAATGTGCCCAACACATTCATGATTCTCTCTAAAATAGAAGTTTCACCTATAAAAAATGCCCAAGGGATAAACAATCACCTGTCTTTGCTGAGTTCATTACTAATTTTATGTTTAATAGAGTGACAGAGAACGCAGATGTCTATGAGAGTGACAATCAGTTACTTAAAAAATAAATAGCCATATATAATCACCAGCTATATAATGGAGTTTCAATCATTCAACTAACTTTTTATTTGAACTGTGATTTACAAATAATATACTCCTGAAATAATGTGACTTTATATGGAATAATTAAATGATATATCCACATAGGCTCTTTATTCCCCAGCCCAAGAGAATGTCCTAGTGGAGGTAGGCTGTTACTGGAGCAACCGTGTCAGACCATGTAACAGGCATATATCCTTGTCCAAGATACAGAGATGAGACTGGCGAAGGTGTCTGAGAAAAATGGTCTAGACTCATACTCTTTTTAAAAATTTTTTAAAGTTTATTTATTTGTTTTTGAGAGAGACCATGAATGGGGAAGGAGCAGAGAGAGGGAGAGAGAGAATCTCAAGCAGTCTCCTTGCTAGTGCAGAGCCCAGTGTGGGACTCGATTGCATGAACCATGAGGTCATGACTTGCACAGAAATCAAGAGTTGGATGCCCAATTGACTGAGTCACCTACTTTTTAATGCCCAATAGAAATATAGTGCAAGCCATACACACAATTTTAAATTATCTAGTAGTGAAAGGTAGAAAAAAACAGATGAAATTAATTCTAACAATATTATTTTATTTAAACCAATATATCTAAAACACTATCATTTCAACATGCAATCAATATTTTAAAAATTGAGATATTTTACACTTTTGTATTAAGTATTTGAAACCCCATATGTATTTTATACACAGAGTATATTTCCATTCGGATTAAATATCTATAAACTGCTCAAGAGCCACATGAGCTATTAGATAGCTGTAAAGTGCTCAATAATAGTGACTATAATGAGCAGCAGAGGTCTAGATACCAAAGTCAAGACCACACCTTTGAATTATGTTCCCTAATCATGGAACTATTACACACACACACACACACACACACACACACACATTCTTCCTACCTCTACCACCAAACAAAAATATATTAATTTTTTAAAATTAAAATTAAATTAAAAATTTCTATAGATATAAAAAAATACATAGTCAACTTTGGAAAGATAGATATATTGCTGTTGTTATAGGATCATGAAGTAAATATATCACATTAGTCCCGAACACAAGGTGGATATAGATACAGAAAAGTTTTATGACTTCATTCACTGGCCCAGCCTTACTTCTGATACATAAAGGCAGTGTTATGACCCAGTGTTATTATTTCACTGTGCTGGAGACCCGCTCCAGCTGGTCCAGGGGTACCTGAAGGATGGACGGTGTCAGTGAGAGACAGTGAGAGAGCCACGAGATTCTTTCCGATCACCAGGCAGGCATCTCTGTCCTGTTGGTTTTGGTGTCTTTATTTAAAGGTCCAATGACAACATGAGATCACAAAAAGGACTTTTTACAATGGAAAACTCTTTGTGATAAGGTGTTTTGAAAAGTGTACAAAAACAGGTTTTACAGAAGTATTCTTGCAGAATTACCCCAATCATAGTGAGGTAGAGTAAATCATACAACTACGGAAATAACAGGATGTTTTTAGTGAAAAACAGGATAACATACATATTTGTGCTAAGTTAATAACGCTAAGATTAGGTCACAGGTTACCTATATAGATAGGCTAGGAGTCATTCTGTCTGGCTCACAAGAGGACAAATGTTTTTGAGCTGAGTAATAAGTTGTTTGTGGAAACTTTTTTGACTTGATGCTGAATGTGTAAACACCATGGAGGTCCTAAATGTGTCAGCCTTTGTTTTTGGGTTTATGTTTTAGCTACTCTTATCTATCCTCATCCCAGCCACCAGTGTAAGGGAGGGTGTTTGTGGAAAGTAGACCTTAGGGAAGGGACTGCCATACATCACCAGTTAGAAAAGGTATAAGTATTAACTTAAGTTCCACCCTTATCTGTTCCTAAACTCTAAACTAGACCCATTGTCTCAGGGCCAGACTCAATTGTAACCTTGTGTTCTTAACCCCCTTTGTTATCTAAGTCTTGGATCTACAAGGCCCATAGGAAGAGACTTTTGACAATCATCCACAGTGCTTTCATCTAAAATCTCTTTTGAAGAGGCAGGAATATGCTTTTCCTTATGAGGTATCTGTGTGTGGAGTATTGGTCTGATTTGGAATATTGTGAGGCCTGGTCCATACCAGCAGGCTCATTTCCAACACGAGCCATTAGTGGCAGAAGGAGATACCAGTTTTTTGTTTCTCATGGCAGGAGTTGTGCAAACGCTGCCATTTCCTCGCTGTGACTGTCATCCAGCAAGGCCGGTGTGGCTCCCAGCATCACTCTATAGGAGACAGTAATTTTCCAGCCATCAACTCAGATGTAAAAAAAAAAAAAAAGAGAGAGAGAATTTAATTTTTCTATAATTCATGTTTCTGTTTGTATAATCTCATTATTCTTGAGTCATTTACATCATTAAGTATTTATTGGGCAATTGCTATGTGCTAGATTTTGTTATAAATAATAAGAATGGTTAAAAATTCCCACTCTCCTGGAGTACATACATACTCTAGTGGAAGGGACACAGATAATATGAAATAAATATGTGTAATATATAGTATGCTGTATGACAGAAAATTAATTTTTTCTCTCTGGAATGGATGGCATCAGAAGGCTTACATACATCCAGGCACTTTCTGACAGTGCCTAGAACAGTACCAAGAACATAGTAGGCACTAAACAAAATGTTTTTCAGATGAATAAATAACAATAGGGGCAGTCTCATCCCCACCATTGCCTATCTGCAGAGCATCCACTGAAACATAAACATTATCCCATCTGGATGTCTTCTGTTGTCATCACCCTCCCCTAAATTGGCATCCACTGAGACAACTTCATCCCCATGTACTCCCTGGCTGGCCATAAGGTCCATGTGACCATCAACCACCAAGACCCCAGGACAGCCCTGCATCCTCTTCAGGTCTACTGTCTCTCACTCTATGGCACCTTTCCAGGAGCACATGCATATTTAGGTATTCTCCCATGATTGTTTGAGGTCACAGGATATGACAGGGTGCCTGAGTCGTCTTTAGACAACTCTACCCCCTTTCTCACATATAATGACTCTAGGTTTCTAAATGGAAACTGGAATGGAAATTCATTATTGTTAGTGTATCCACAGATGTAGCTGGGGTCATCTTTTTCTCCCCTTCTCATGAGTTTACCAGGAAGGGAGGGAGTACCAGGGCTCAGATCTTCTTAGAACCCTCAACCATATCTAATTTCTTGCCTCCTCACCCTACCCAGTGAGGATTTGTATCTCATCTTCTGCAGTGATTAAATGGGAAAACTGTTGATAAGTGAATTATCAAATTAAATATTTCAAACTTCTTTAAATAATGCATGAAACTCCTATACAACCAGTCCCATTTAGCTTGGAGAATCTTATGCTTTAGAACATAGTACTGTTTTTCTTTCTGATTTAATGCTTATTTGCAATGGTTGAATTTGTTAATATGCTGAGGATAAATAAGAGAATAAAATCAGCAAAACAGAAAACCACATTAGCTCATACTGCTTTTTCACAAGATGGCAATCCTTTCTATTTCAAGTAACACTGAAGGAAAGAGAAAAACACTACCCAGTTGAATATAGTGACCCGCATAAAAGGAGTACACAAACATCCAGACAATTCTTTCTTAATCTATTTACCATATATGCATTGGCCTATGATGGTTTATTATGTTGTACTCTTGAGTTTATGCACTTTTCCAGTTAAAAATATTAAATAAAGCAATCCAAATATAATAAATAGATATTGGAAACTCTTAGATAATGAGGAAAAATTAAGTTAATAAAACCTTTTGAAAGAAATGAGAGAGCATGTGACAGCTCCAAAGGAATAGGACTCAGGGGATCTTTGCTGTGCCATCAAAGACAAGAGTAGGAACATAACAGAAACGAGGGAGGGATGCACTACAGTTATCATATTTTCCAAGGAGGACTGAAGTGTGCTTCAAAAAGATTGAGGGTATGGACCATAATCCACAGAAAGGGATTACCCAGCATCTTGTCTCACTTTCAGACTCAAAAAGCCATCTGAGCCAACTCTAGGGTCATGATCTTTGCCTTAATAATTATGTCTTTCGGTCCATTTCTTCAGGATACCTCAAATACTACATTTCACCACACTCACTCATACCAAGCAAGCTTAATGTTTTTATTTCAAAATAAATTGTCATGCTTAGCTATATTTACTGTAATATTACTGTATTTATTTGGAATCTAAGTAAGATGCTTCAAGTAAGTAAATGTGGTAGGATTTTATTTCTTTTTCAAGTGTATTTTTTATAAAACCAAATAGGATTCAAGTTCCACCCCAATGCTATGTTTACAGCATGAAATTCTAAAATATAGTTAAATAACACACATACTATATTATGGGTTTAAAATCCCAATATATTTTTAATAATTTCAATTGTTTTCTGCACTTTCCCTTTAATTCTGTCCTGTTGTATTATTAAGTCATTTGTCAGTCTGAAGTACTATTACACAGGAAAGCTGTGTTGTTTAAATAAGAATTACCTCATGCAGCTCCTCTGGAAAACAGGTTGGAGGTTCCTCAAAAATTTAACAGTAGAAGTCCCCTATGACCCAGCAGTAGCACTGCTAGGAAGTTACCCAAAGGACACAGGAGTGTTGATGCATAGGGGCACATGTACCCCAATGCTCATAGCAGCACTCCCAACAATAGCCAAAACATGGAATGAGCCTAAGTATCCATCAACGGATGAATGGATCAAGAAGATGTGGTTTATCTATACAGTGGAATACTGCATGGCAATGAGAAAGAATGAAATCTGGCCATGTGTAGCAATGTGGATGGAACTCAGGGGTGTTATGCTGAGTGAAATAAGTCAGGCAGAGAAGGACAGATACCATATGTTTTCACTTATAAGTGGAGGAGAAACTTAACAGAGGACCATGGGGGAGGAGAAGGGGAAAAATAGCTGGGGAGAGGGAGGGAGGCAAACCATGAGAGACTCTTGAATAGTGAAAACAAACTGAGGGCTGATGGGGGTGGGGGTGATGGGCATGGAGGAGGGCACTTGTTGGGATAAGCACTGGGTGTTATATGGAAACCTACTTGACAATAAACTGTGAAAGAAAAAAACTTTTTAATAAAAATAATAATAATAATAATAATTACCTTAGGAAATTCACTTTGTATCAGTAGGACACATGGAATATAGGCCTCAAATGCTGGGTGTAGAATATTGAGAATATATTCTTACCAATCTTTGTCCCTTTATCTTTATATCTACTCTGAAATGAGTCCCTAACTTCTCGATGATGAAGAGATACAAAAACATTTCCTAAAGTCTCCATGTTGTTGAGATGATAAAAATGGTACTTGACCATTCAATGTCTGGGGTACAGAGAGAGGATGTAAAATAGGAAAGAAGAATGGGTAGGGGAAAGTAATAGTCACGGAATGAGAATAATAAGAAAAAAAACTGCAACAGTAATAAAAGAGATTGCCACTGCTGTATAGCCAGAGTTGTTATCTACTTGAAGTATCAGCACACTGGGAGAAATGGGAAACAATGGTGACTCACATCATGTAAGCAATCTATGAGCTAGCATGTGAATATCATGTTAGAGTTTACAGAGTTCATTTGACATTGTTTCTTATAATCCTTCCTTAGTTAGATAATACTATCATCATTTCCAATTTACTGATGAGGATACTTGGTGAAGTTCACACAGGTCACACATGTCAAACCCACATCCATGGAGTCCAATCCATTTGCCTTCCGTCGTCACTCTACTGTCAAATGGAAATCAGTTGATCAAGTAGTAATCCCCCTCTATTCAGAGTTACAGGGACACTACAGGAAAGCAAACAATATCTGAAGTCTAGGAATTTTAATGGTGACCGGCTTGGTCATTTTTCCCCAAAATCCCATCTCTGCTAAGAAACTCTTTGTTATTTCCTTCATTCCAAACAAAACAGTATTCTTTCAACTCAGAATTTTTTTTAAACCTCAAATTATAACTGAAGAACTCCATCAGTGGAAAATAAAAGATATATTCCTAAAATATTGGCTATCCTTTCTACTTAATGACAGATCTACAAATATGTTTGCTACTTCAGTTTCTGCAGTTAATTCAGCTTTTTACTTTTCATCCAGATATTTGGTATTGGCAAGGTCTACACATAAAAAAAAACCAGTTGATTCAGCCAATCCAGTAGCAAAAATAAGAAGTCACATCGGTCATGAGTCATGCACACGAAATCATAACTAATGAGAATTTTACTAATCAACCAATTGTCAAGAGCCTTGAAAATGCAGCCTAATCAGCACACAGCAAAGTTCCTATATCATAGATGCACTTGCCTATTTCAAAGAATTCTATAGCAATTGTAGGAAAGAGAAGTCTATTTTTGAACTCTAGCATGTATTGGAAAAAAATCCAGAATGATTAAGTCTTCTGGCATGTATTTTAGCTATTACAGCTGTTTGCAATATATATGTGCTACATCTATATTTGAAATCTCTGCTGTTGCCATTCACCATCTGCCCAAAGATGGGTGAAAATGCCTATGTTTTTTGTTCATTGCTTATGAAACTGCACATAGCAATTTGCCAAACCTTTATTATTTTTCCTAGTCTTTTTCAAGCATCTAATCAATATCCTAGAAATGTTGAAGCAAAAACTAAAGTCTCATAAAGCCACAAATGTAACTTGCCTTTTAAATTCGAAGGGTAGAACAGTTCTTACAGCAAGTTTAGCTATCTAATTATTATTAACTATTTAATAATATCCTAATTATCCCTTATTATCAGAAAACTGATCCAAAATCTCTAGAACATAGTGGAAAAAGGAATGTAGAAACACTAAATATACAAAATCCTAAAGTGACAGAAGTCCCATGTTCATTAGCACTTTTCTAAGACAAAATTCCCACACTATTATTTCTCCAATATCTAGACTTTAGTGAATATAGGAGATTAAGATAGAAAGGGAAGGGCAATAGCACAAAAACAGACACTCAGAACAATGGAATCGGATAGATAACCCAGTAATGGGCCCACAAACATATGGTCAAGTAATCTTTGACAAAGCAGGAAAGAATATCCAATGGAATAAAGACAATCTCTTCAGCAAATGGTGCTGGGAAAACTGGACAGCAATGTGCAGAAAAGTGAATCTGGACCACTTCCTTACACCATCACAAAAATAAACTCTTAATGGATGAAAGACCTAAACGTCAGGAAGCCATCAAAATCCTAGAGGAGAAAGAAGGCAGAAATCTCTTTGACCTTGGCCACAGCAACTTCTTACTCAACACGTCTCCGGAGGCAAGGGA